TTAGTGAAAATGCCCTATTTGATCAGTGAAAATGCCCTATTTGACTATCTAAAAATTCCCAGTTTGAACAGCTGAAAACGCCCTATTTGACTCACTGAAAATGCCCTATTTGACTAGGTGAAAATGCCCTATTTGACTAGCTGGAAATGCCCTGTTTGACTAGCTGAAAATGCCCTATTTGACTAGCTGAAAATGCTCTATTTGACTAGCTGAAAACGCCCTATTTGATTAGCTGAAATTGCCCTATTTGACTAGCTGAAAATGCCCAATTTGAATAGCTGAAAATGCCCTATTTGACTAGCTGAAAATGCCTTATTTGACTAGCTTAAATGCCCTATTCGACTAGCGGGAAATTCTCTCTTTGAACAGCTGAAAAAGCCCTTTTTGACTAGCTGATAATTACCTGTTTGACTAAATGAAAATGCCCTTTTTGACTAGCTGAAAATACCCTATTTGTCTAGCCGATAACTCCCTAATAAACTAGCTTAAAATTACCTATTTTAATAGCTGAAAATGCAATATTTGACTAGCTAAAAACACCTTATTTGGCAAGCTGAAAATACCCTATTTGACAAACTGAAAATGTCCTATTTGATTAGCTGAAAATGCTCTATTTAAACAGCTGAAAATGCCCTATTTGAATAGCTGAAAATACCCTATTTGATTAGCTGAAAATGTCCTATTTGTAAAGCTGAAAATTCCCTGTTTAACCAGCTGAAAATACCCTCTTTTACTAGCTGAAAATGCCCAATTAGACTAGGTGAGAATGCCCTTTTTGACCAGTTGAGAATGCCCTATTTAAATGGCTGAAAATGCCCTATTTAAGCAGCTAAAAACCCACTTTTTAAAAGACTGAAAACGCCCTATAAGACTAGCTAAAAATTCGTTATTTGAACAACTGAAAACGCCCCATTTGTCTAGCTAAAAATGCCCTATTTAAATAGCTGAGAATGGTCCATTTGAACAACTGAAAACGCCCTATTTGACTAACTAAAAATGCCCTATTTGAATAGCTAAAAATGGACAATTTGACTAGCTGAAAATACCATATCTGAACAGCTGAAAACGCCCTATTTGACTAGCTGAAAATGCTCTATTTGACTAGAAAATACCCTATTTGACTAGCTGAAAACGCCCTATTTGACTAGATGAAAAGGTCCATTTGAACAACTGAAAACGCTCTATTTGACTAACTAAAAATGCCCTATTTGAATAGCTAAAAATGGACAATTTGACTAGCTGAAAATACCGATACCAGGCACGATATGAGACCATTGATCTTATTTATTAATTTAATTGATGTTAATATTAACATAAAAATGTTAATGCTAATTGATATTAGCATAGAAATTAACATTTAGGTATATTTAATATTAATGCTAATGTTAATGTTAACTTTATATAATGACAAGCATAAACTTTAATGAATGGTTTAAATTCAATGTTAATGTAATGTTAATGTTAACTTTATAAAATGACAAGCATAAAATTTAAATAATAGTTTAAAGTCAATGTTAATGTTAATGTTAATGTTAATGTTAACTTTATAGAATGACAAGCATAAAATNAATTGCTTAAAGTCAATGTTAATGTTAATTTTAACATTATGTACTGACAACCATAAACTTTAATGAATTGGATAAAGTCAATGTTAATGTTAATATTAACATTATATACTGACAACTATAAACTTTAATGAATTGCTTAAAGTCAATGTTAATGTTAATGTTAATGTTAATGTTAACATTATATACTGACAAGCATAAACTTTAATGAATTGTTTAAAGTCAATGTTAATGTTAATTTTAATGTTAACTTTATATAATGACAAGCATAAACTTTAACGAATTGTTTAAAGTCAATGTTAATGTTAATGTTAATGTTAATGTTAATGTTAATGTTAATATTAACATTATATACTGACAAACATAAACTTTAATGAATGGCTTAAAGTTGTCAGTATACAAAGTAAACCCTACTGCTCCAAAACTAAAAGTATTCATTATTTTAATTTACTCTACTCTGTCTCTGTATTCAAGGAATCGCTAACCACCATGCACAGTATCTGGTATATCTCATCGCTCAATAGTATAGTCTAAAAATGAAAAAATAAGAACAAATTTTTGGGCTAGTTTATAAAGTCTGAAGACTTTCTAGTCCGCAAACTAGATGTAATATATCACTGATTTTATTCCATGACCATAACTTGTACATATATTGTTATCATTTAACCTGTAAACTAGTTTGAAATATACATTATTATTATTATTATTATTATTACCAGGAGATATGGGGACCATGAGAGCTTATAATAAACTTGTGTATATTCTATACCAGGAGATATGGGGACCATGAGAGCTTATAATAAACTTGTGTATATTCCATACCAGAAGATATGGGGACCATGATTGCTTAAAATAAACTTGTGTATATTCTAGACTATACCAGGAGATATGGAGACCATGAGAGCAGCCAATTAAATAATTGTACAGAAAACCCGAACTATGAAAGTTGTTCTCTGTAATCTTGAATGATTACTGATTACTCTTGATCTAAAATATAATTGTAAACGTAATTTCAATTTACAATTGACCCCCTACACTGAAATCTAGACAACTTGGATAGTTAGTCCCTAAGTTTTTAGCAAGCCTTTGGTTAAACCTCACAAACTCAATTGTACCTTTTTGTAGCCCTAGACATATACATTTTTAAAAACCAATGTAATTGTTTCTAGCGTAAGTTAAAAAGGAGTAATTGGAAAAATACTGCTTGATTTTGCTTGAGGGCGTGCACATCTTAGTTTACCGTGCCTAGTCACAACGGTAGCCTTTATCCCTTTATCTGGGGAACAGTGTGTGGAAGATATTGTAGTTTTCTATCAGGAATTCAGTCATAGAGAAACGATAATTGGAAATAGGACATCTTTACGATTTCTGCTCAAACAGGGGGATGACAGTTTCCTACCTGTCTGCTAAGTTAGATGTAGACTCTCGGTATAGTTCATAGGTACTATTGCAAGGAAAAATATTTCAGAGGTGTACGCATTTTTTGTACTGCAGTGTACTGTCTTTGGGCGTAAAAGTAAACACAAGACGGATTCCACAGCCTGACATAGAATCCATTTTCAAATAAATATTTCATAATCTATGAAATCTTCTGGTCATCGGAAACTATTATGTGAAATATCAAAATTATCAAAATTAAATGCTTTAATGCTCCTCGGATACTAGACGAACACTGATGCATCTATTCTTGTTTACAAATTCCGCCCAGAGAGAACTGGTTTCAATTTGTACGCAGAGTATACACAACCGCAATTAACTTTCCTTGCACCAGTACCTTGATATGGCCTGTACAATTAGTAAAGGATTAGCATACATCATCACTCTATACGCTATAACCTCGTTGCACTCAAATAAAGGTTTAAAGGATAGTGTTGTTTATCAAGCATAGCTCTCTTTCAATATAGGGTCACTTCTGTTTATCTTAGCATCAGGAAATATTACACCATCAACATCATTAATAACATAAAACAAAGAAATTGGGTCTTTGCCACACACTCAAATGTTCTAATCCCGATATCTTGGCAACCTGATGGTGTAAACCTATAATATTTCAAACTTAAATAATTCATAGTTTGAAATATCTAAGGACTATGACAGTTGGTTGCAAATAAATAGGGATTAGAAAATCAGAGTGTGTGACAAAGATTCAATTCCTCTTCATAATGTTAGACATTTTTTTTTCTTTCTTTGCAAGAATAAATTTGAATACTAGGACGAACCTAAATTCTTATTAAGTATGAATTGACATAAATGAGCTTATGTTAAATGCGTGAAAAGATCAATTTAAATATTTTCTATCTCTACCCATCTGAAGTTAAAGAAAAAGAAATTTTACAATTATAAATTATTTATTTTCTCCAACTCTGAATGAATTTGAAAGAGATGATCGTTACAAAATTATAAATGTTTGTACAGTGCAGTACGGTACAGTGCAGTACGGTACAGAACAGTACTGTACAGTACAGTACAGTACAGTAAAGCAGAGCACAGTACAGTACAATGAACTGTGCATTGTACAGTTTACTTCTTTAACAGGTTATTACAGTGTGTAATGTAATGTTGATTGTATAGTTGTGTTGTGTACAATACCAATGTACAGTTTTAATAGAAAACTATGTATATTGTACAGTGATAAAGTGTACTATTCTGTACATTATACCTTGTACTTCTCTAATTTGCTTTAACTAATGTTGCATTACATTTAATAAAGGGGCTAGAGGCAAAAATGATAAATCTGTTCAATATCTCGCAGGAACAAAATTTATTTAGGGGGGGGCATGGTAGACTAACTTTTTAATTAATAATTTTATGGATTTAAAAATTTGAACATTATACAGGGTGTCCCAAAAAACATGGGAATTCAGTGACGAATTGGATATCGTCTTTGTTATGAATTGGCATTGTAGTACCTAATTTCAAAAGCCATAATATTGTTGTGTCTGCTAGAGTTTATTTTATGAAAAGGGTAAAAGACTGTAAAGGTGTGTCTATAATGTCTATGCAAGATGAACAGTGAAGACAGACAAGTAAATACTCTGTTTGTATACTGTAATTTTCTTGTTTTACTAAGTACAACCGTATGCAGTCAAAACATAAACAAACAAAATGTGAACTTAGCAGACGAAACTCTTACAAATTACAGCTTTCTCAGTAGGTATCACTTTACTAAATCAAAGAATTATCTAAAAAGACGATATCGAATTCGTCACTGAATTTCCATGTTTTTTGGGACACCCTGTACAACATTTATGGAGCTTTTTAAATGTTTTTAAATTAAAAACTTTGACATTAACGATACCCAGCTCGGGGTACATATAGTTCAATAACAAAATTGCAAGTTTACTGCACCGTGTACAAGTATATAACAGAATACAAACAACTATGATATGGGTATAGTTAACATGATCTTGTATTGGATGCAATGTGAAAAAAATATAAAGTTAACATTTTATATTTTGTGGGTTTTATCGCATTTATTTGGTTTTAAAATTTTTTTATTGATTTTGCACATTAGGCTGACTGAAATTTGACTGTATTTTGTTCTATTCTACAATAAAATAACAGTACTAAAGCTGGGGTGTACAAATAATCTTTTTATTAGCACTTATGTCATCTTTACGGCAGTAATTTTAACAAACTAATAAAAAGTGAATTTGCACAATACACAAATATGGCTTCATGATTATCAACTTTTAAATATTTTTTTATTTATTTAAAATGTCCGCTGCAGTAAATTTATTATTACATTATCTAAAATAAGACAAAAGCTTGTGTAAGAAAGAATGCTGATCACGTTGATTTTATAATTTCATCTTTTTCAATTGGTTTACATTTGACTCTGTAGAACTTTGTACCCTGAGGAACTCTGAACCTGTTCTCCGGTTTGCGCGCCTGACAGTACTCCTTCTCCACAACTTCCGCAGTTATCTGAATCTTACGCGGCACTCCGCGCTCAAGACTTAGTCCCAAACTTTCCACACTTTCCGTGTGAAGAAAGTGAAGGATTGATCCCTCGTGGTAAATTGAGTAGTTGGAGTAAACATCGGACCAAACCACGAGAACGATCTCACCCCGTTCCGCGCTCAGGACGCTCACCTTCCCTGTGGTGATGAGGGAGGTCATGGATCGGGTGAGCTGGTCCCTGAGCTGCCTGTTCTCCTCCTGCAGCTGCTTCAAGCTCTCGTCTGTCTCCACCGCTATACTGCACAGCATGGAGTTTGCTAGCTTCTGGTTTGCCTCCCGTAGTTCAGATTCTAGCTGAGCGTTCTTTCTGAAAATACAAGTATTATGAGGATAAATCACATGATTTGAGGATCTGGTAAATAAAGTTTTTCCATCCTTTTTACAAATTTTTTTTTCTTTACCTAATAATCATTTTTTCCCAAGACGCTCTTGAAAAGAAGAAAAAGCTTGAAATCCTTAAATGCAACCAAACTCGTGTGTATAAAAGATAACTAGAGAAGTGACGAGGTTGCAAAATGTTCTAACTAATTTAATCTAATGCATTGAGATTGGCCAGATTGATTTTTTAAAGCATATCTCTTAGTTTCTAATACAATACAAAAGAATTTTAAATCAAATTTAATGTAAATCTGAACAAGGAGCCAAGGAAAAAGCAAACATTTATTTATTAGAGAGCAAAGATAACTGTATCCAATCTTTTTTTATTTGATTGATAGATTGTATACCTAGAGATCTGAGCTAGACTCTAGGTCTGAGTTTGATTGATGGATTGTATACCTGGAGACCTGAGCTAACTATGACTCTAGGTTTGATGAGTTAGATTGAAGGATTGTATACCTGGAGACCTGAGCTAACTGTGACTCTTGGTCTGCTGAGTTTGATTTATGGATTGTATACCTGGAGACCTGAGCTAACTGTGACTCTAGGTCTGCTGAGTTTGATTGATGGACTGTTACCTGGAGACCTGAGCTAACTGTGACTCTAGGTCTGAGTTTGATTGATGGATTGTATACCTGGAGACCTGAGCTAACTGTGACTCTAAGTCTGAGTTTGATTGATATAGTGTTTACCTTGAGACCTGAGCTAACTGTGACTCTAAGTCTGCTGAGTTTGATTGCCCCCTGCCTGAGATCTGGTTGAGCTGAGCTTCTAACTCTGATATCACTCTATCCTTCTCCTCCACAGTCTTCTTCAAGGCCTCGTTGAAGATAACCTGCTTCTCGGCGCTTCCTCGGGTCTTCTCAGTCTTACGTACAATCTGGGAGCAGATACAAATATTAACTTTAAAGGGACTGAAGACGTGAAATATCAACTTTAAAGGGACTGCACACGTAATTTCACATGATCCAGGACTCTCCCTGTCCGACGCACAACAGTACCCTTTAAATATTGACATTGAAGGAAATTGTCAGAATTCAACCCGTTTAAAAATATCATCCTCATTGTTACTCAGATAGAGGTTTAAAGGGTATCGTATGGAATCGGACATGACACAGTTCTATACTCTACTCTCTACTCTACTCTACTCTACTCTTTAAATTGCGAGTCACTTGAAATACGCCTCCAGTCCCTGTAAAATGATCTCAAATTAAACAATAGTAATGTAAATTTAAGAGGAATTCTATACTTTATGACATTCTATTTAACGGTTTATATTTAACAAACCCCGAGTAGATTTGTGAAGGTCAAAATAAGAACGCAAAAACATATATTAAACATTTCCTCTAGTAAACGCCATTATAAATGCAGGGTTACTAACAAAGAATTTTTTATATATTTTTCTGACATTTAGGGCTCCTGCAGCTGTACAGTGTACATAACTTTTATTTCTCAAACCTTTTAACATTTTGTTTATGGTTTATAATTTCATAAAATTAAATGCAAATAAGCAGATTTAAGATTTTTGTCGTCGTTTTTAAAAATTTTTAGGTCGACGCTATAGTCTCATCATTTGTGGGTAACCCTGTATGTTCGGTTCTAAATGTTGGTTTACCTCTATATTACGGAGCAGTTCCTCCTTCTCCTCCTTGAACCTGAGCTCGTTCTCTTTCTGCTGGAGGAGCATGGACTCGATCTTCTGGACCAGCTTCTCCTTCTCCCTCTCCCAGGCTCCCCGCTCCAGGATATATTTTTCCTCCAGTTTTCCGTCTGTCTCCGTGCTCTCAGGGCGGGGGCTCTAGAATAGAGAACAAATTAGAAACAAGGGAAATTTCAGGGTTTTTAGAAGGAGGGGGAAAATTAGATATTTTTCAAATTGTAATTTATTGTGTTTTTTAGGTTTTAACAGGATTAAATTAATAAAAGGGGGATAGAGAGGAATAAATCTTATAATAATAAATGATTAAATATATATTAAATTTGTTTATATATCATTTTGGGGTTTTATTTAGGGTTTCCATTCGCAAAAATTTTGCGAAATTTTTGCGGAACGAAACTCAAAATTTTTCTTTCTTTACGCATCAGTTTTGCGCGAAAAAACAACAATTTGCGCAATCATTCGCAAAAGTCATTTCGCGCAAAATTGCCCTATTCCACTTTTGCGAAACTCAAGTTTTGCGCAATTCCGCAATTTCGTAAATATCAAACGGTTGGTGACGGTGTGTGTTTCTTAGAATTCAATTCTGGGAAAATCGTGTTTTGAAATGTCTTCCCATTGCATGGTCACTTTTACATAATTGACCAATGACAGTTAAGAAGAGTTCAAATCTCACAATTTTCTCGACAATTTTAGTTTTGGACATGCATATTTCCTAAAAGTGGATTCTTCAGGAATTGGTTACTTTCTTGCATTATTTTATAAGAGATTAAAAAGATTTCAGAAATTTGATTAAAAAATTTAAGAATATAATTCATACTTGATTAGGCAAAGCTTTTAAGGGTCTGCACTTGAAATTATTTAATAGGATTAAAATATTGCCAAGTTTCACACTCTCTAATTTCTATTTTATTAATTTTGGTCCCTTAATTTAAACTTTTTTGTAACTGGAAGTAACCAATTGAGTGTAGTGTAATCGTTATCATACTGGTATGTTAATATTTTTTTTTATGTATGGAATAAATCTTCAGTTGTTTAATTCTAAGCTTAGAATATCATTTTTTGACAATTTGCCTAAAAAGTTACTTTTTGCGTAAAACTTGCGGTTTTGCGCAAATTGCGAAAAAAATTGCGCAAAATCAAAATTTCGTTTCATGCGCAACTTTCGCAAAAAAATATTTCCGGTTTTGCGCAAGTTGCGCAAAAAAATAGCGCAAAACTCATTGCGTTTCATGCACAAAAATAGCGCAAAAGTTCGCAAAAAAAATTTGCGCGAAAATAGCGCAAATTTTTCCCAAAAGATTTAGCCATTTTGTGGAAACCCTAGTTTTATTTTAACATTTTTTAACGTAGTCGTCGGGCAATGATTAAAAAAACTTAGTATGTTATGTAAATTGTTTAAAAGTACATACATTGTGCACAGTACACCCGACACTCGACAAACAAAAACAATCCCATTTAATTTATTTAGTTTATTAGTTTTAATTTTGAGCTTTTTGACAGTGTCAAACAATACAAAATCCGGCAATTATTTGTTTTTATAATTATACTTTCTGAAGTGCCTGGCGTTGCCTGTTGAATTTTAAAAACACTTAGGGTACTGAGGGTACCCATGCCATGGGTACCCCGAAAAAAATGTCAGCCAATTTTGGCCAGCTATAGCTAACACAGAAGAGCTTTATTTTAAGATATACAATCTTTAAGAAAATGTAAACGTAACTTGAAGTATATACCTAATTGAAAGTGTTTCATGCTTAATTCACAAAAACAAATCTTTCAACCTTTAACTGAGTAGTATTTTGAAAAATATTAAATTCTGACTATTTCCTTTGTTATCTCTACACTGCATAAAAACGCCAGGGACTTCAAGGTCTTGAAAGGGGTTCACTAGAACTGATCAGTAGTATTCTCTCTCTCTTGCTCGCTGCAAGAGAGAGATTTGAAACGAAATGCTGATAAAAAACAAAAAGCTCAGGATATTCATTTCGACTATAGGAATCCGAGAACACCCAAGCATTAAAGGGACTGTAATCGTGATTTCAAGTGAACCTCAAAGCAAAGATGGCAATGCCCGATTCACAAGGTTTACCCTGAAAATGAAAAAGATATCATTGTTTATCATTTTGAAAATTTAAATTAAACATCATTGGTGCATGAAGGTTTTAAAGGGTGCCCCTGTGAATCCGGCATTGCCATCTGTGCATGAAGGGTCAGTTAAGATTACTCTTACAGTCCCATTAAGATATATGATCTTAATCAGAATTAAAATGAAAAGGTTTCCTCCCAGTTCATACAATGTGTCTCAGTTTCCTCCTAGTTCATACAATATGTCTCTGTTTCCTCCCAGTTCATACAATATGTATCAGTTTCCTCCCAGTTCATACAATATGTCTCAGTTTCCTCCCAGTTCATACAATATGTCTTAGTTTCCTCCCAATTCATACAATATGTCTCCGTTTCCTCCCAGTTCATACAATATGTCTCAGTTTCCTCCCAGTTCATACAATATTTCTCAGTTTCCTCCCAGTTCATACAATATGTCTCAGTTTCCTCCCAGTTCATACAATATGTCTCAGTTCCCTCCCACTCCCAGTTCATACAATATGTCTCCGTTTCCTCCCAGTTCATAAAATATGTCTCAGTTTCCTCCCAGTTCATACAAAATGTCTCAGTTTCCTCCCAATACATACAATATGTCTCAGTTTCCTCCCAGTTCATACAATATGTCTCAGTTTCCTCCCAGTTCATACAATATGTCTCAGTTTCCTCCTAGTTCATACAATATGTCTCCGTTTCCTCCCAGTTTATACAATATGTCACAGTTTCCTCCCAGTTTATACAATATGTCTCAGTTTTCTCCCAGTTCATACAACATGTTTCAGTAAACATGGAGTTTAAAGAGACGACCAGAAAATATTAAACATATTTTTCATGAATTAAATATAATATTTTTGACTTACATTTTCTGACGTACTGTTTGCTAGTTTTGTAAACCTTTATAGCACACAAATAACACAAAAACCAGGATTAGGTAAAAGTAAATAAAAATATTGCCATTTTTGGACTCAACTTTGCTACACAAATCTTAGAACTGTTTTTCAAAAGTTATTTTATCATTTTGAAAATAAGGAGGATCAAAAACATTGTAAATCGTGCATAGCGGAATCTAAAATTGTATTGTAATTTTATTAAAACACTTGTTTCATTCTAAATAAATTAAAACTAAAATGACAGGTTAGGAGTTAGTAAAATGAGAAAAAAATTGTACTTGACCTTTAAATACATTAGCAATATATAATAAACAGCACTTGCTATATGCTAGATAAAAAATCCACTAGAGTACAGTTTTAATGTATAACTTGACAGTACAGTACAACAAAGGAGAGAATTCCAAAACCTTGTTATATATTTATTTTGTTATTTCTATTCTTAAAATAATCTTCTGAAAAATTTATTAAGTTCGTTAATATCAGTTAATATTAGTTAATATTAGTTAATATTAGTTAATTTTAGTTAATATTAGTTAATATTAGTTAATATTAGTTAATATTAGTTAATATTAGTTCGTGAAAACTTCAAAATTGGGAGATTTTTTGATACATAAGATACTAATAGATGATTTATTTATTTTGAACAATTGTTAAAGGCGAATAAAGAGATTAGCATAAAGAAAAAACAGGATTTTTGTGCAGTCTGTACAGTTTTCACATTAAAATTTGAAGATAATTCCGAATAAAATAAAAAAATTGTATTTTGGCTGCTAAATTATTTGGTCAAAACCAGTTTCCTTTCTCTCCTAGTTTCCATTCTGTATTCCGGGGGGTTGATTAGTTCAACAATTAACAGTATTTTAATAAATATTTTTGATGTTAGTGTCAGGGTTACCCACAACGAATGATACTTCAGAGACGACTGTACGGAATATATACTGTCTGTTTCCTTATATCCATGATCTTTTAAAACATAAACTTGTTTCTCTCTACGCCAAATCATTAAATAAGCCAATTAAAGATCAAATTTAAGGCCGAAGATTAATTTGAGATCGTCGTCTTTACATTCTCATTCTTTGTGGGTAACCCTGTAGTTTCCGAAAAAAATTAAGTTTTAACTTTATTACAATATTTAAGACGCTTTTAAGTGAAGCGAAAAACACACGTTAAACACTCTTTTTAAGTGAAGTGTAAAATAAAACACACTTTGAATACTCTGTTTATCTAAGGACCAAACAACTAAGTACTAACACATCACGTTGCTATAAATTAAAAATTTTTGAAGCAGTTTTCATGCTTTCTTTAAAAAAAGAATAAATTTTTGTTTTTTAAGGAAGTATCGATGCAAATTTTTTATTTAAATAATCATGGTGGTGAAATTTTTTTGTACCTAATCCCAAAAATTGGATATACAGTAAGACCCATGAAGCTGTAGAGAAGAGAGAAGACTCAAGTTATGATATTAAATAGTTCAAATAACATGAAATACAGCAGTTGTCAGGTTTAAACTGTATACAAAGACCTATTCCACTTAATTAGTTAAATTTCAAGCAACTGGTAGAATTATTTGTATTACTACAACACCAACTGCATTCAAAATGGCGTAAATGTCGTCTTCTTATCTTATTCCAGTTTTATGGTACCACTATTTGTGTGAGTAGATGAGAAATTCCTTCCAAACAAACTAATTGCTTATTAATAAAAAATAACACAGTGTGCAAGCAAATCAAAATCAAAATAAGAGTGTGATACGTTATTTTTCTCTTATTACATGACAATGCGCTACGCGCAGACCAAAACTAACAGCACTCCCGAGTGCTCTATGAAGAACCCATAGCAGTACATTTACATGTATAACTAGTACAGTACAAAAGGGCAGAATTCTAAAACTTCAGTATTTAATTTTAATACCTTGCATTTCGTTCAATCTCCAAAAACAAAATTATCTATAATTTTATGAATTATTGTTACATCGTTAAATAATTTTATGTCAGCCGGAAAAAAAACTAAAATTCCAGACACAAGGTTTCAGAATTCTGCTACTTCAAACCTTAAATGATTCTCCTGTAGAATAACAACGTGGTCTCCTGACCGGAAGCAGATGTTTTGCCGCGCACAATTCCTAAATCCCACAGCGTGGATATAAATACTAAACTGCAGTGAACTTACATATTTTCTTTGCTTATCAACTCAAAGCCCTTAAACCAAACCTGTCAACGTATTTCTAATCCTATCTAAGTCCGAAAATTTTGAATCTAAAACCAGGGAATTTAACCTTAGTTCTATAATTTAAAAGTTTACAACGTGGATAAGTTCAGTCTGTGAATTTCAGCGTAATCCAATACAAAAGTTTTGAACTCTTTTACTAAATCTATAGAAATTAAGTGTTTCAAATTAGAAGAGAACTCACTCAATAACTATATGTTTTCGTTTCTGTCTTAATAATATTCTATATATTTGGCTATAAAACGTTCCTGTCTTAATAATATTCTATATTTAGCTCTAAAACGTTCCTGTCTTAATAATATTCTATATTTAGCTATAAAACGTTCCTGTCTTAGTAATATTCTATATTTATCTATAAAACGTTCCTGTCTCAATATTCTATATCTAGCTATAAAACGTTCCTGTCTTAATAATATTCTATATTTAGCTATAAAACGCTCCTGTCTTAATAATATTCTGTATCTGGCTATAAAACGTTCCTGTCTTAATAATATTCTATATTTAGCTGTAAATGTTCCTGTCTTAATAATATTCTATATTTAGCTGTAAACGTTCCTGTCTTAATAATATTCTAAATTTAGCTGTAAACGTTCCTGTCTTAATAATATTCTATATTTAGCTTTAAAACGTTCCTGTCTTAATAATATTCTATATCTAGCTATAAAACGTACCTCAAATGATAAATCTGATTCTGAGACGGAAGGGCTTCGATCCAATGTTGCGGTGGTCTGCATTATCTTAAATCTTGATCTTAAACTATCCAAATCCATCTTGGACTTTTTCCGAATTCTTTCCGAAACATCATCCATTTCTTTTTGCTTTACCAGCGTAAATTGTCTTGTCTCTTCAGCGAACTTTTCCTCGAGTTCGAGTTCTCTCTGCTTGAGCGCCGCCTGCCAATCCTTCTCCTTCCTCTCCAGCACCCGCTGGAGATTGGTCTGACTCGAGTCGATCATTTTCTGTCGAAGCTCTTCTAATCTAGCGCACATCTCTTCATTGTTGGAGGCCTGTATTTCTTGAAGTTCGGCCTGATGGCTAGCTTTGAGGCTTGCCTCGAGCTCGCTTATGGCCAGCCTCTGTCGTTCGCTAAACCCGGCCTCGAGGATCTGAACGATCTTCTCCTTCTCCTCCTTGATCCTCTCATCGTTTGTGATGTCCATGAGCTGAACTTTAGTTTGTAAATCTGCAGAGAGTTGGTCGGATTCTTTAACTTTAGCTTTCAGCTTCCGTAGCTGCTCTTCAGCATCTGCTAACTAAATAAAAATTACTTTATAGGGACTCTACCTTCATTTTAAACAAGAGTGGTATTTTCAATTATTTACAGTGCCATTTAAACTTCTAACTGAGGGAGATATTGCGGGTTTTTTTTTGTCGAAAAAAGGAAGAATTTCCTACAGTAACTGTAAAGTGTGAAGCATAAATGCGTAAGTTAACTTTATTGAGAAGACATAATTGAAATTAATTAATTTTTTGCTAGGAAAATAAAATTATCTCATTCGTTCTTGAGCAAACAAAGGTTACTTTTGTGAATAGGACATGCTACTCTACAAATACGTCTTTAGTCCCATTAAATCTTGAGTTTTTTATGGTTTAAAAAAATAATTATTTGAAAATGAACCTTTGTCAGCTCTCCAGTCTCTAGTTGCTGTTTAAGATTATCAAACTCCAGTTCATGTTCAAGCTCCAGCTTCTGCTTCAGCTCTCTCATCTTGTCCTCCTGCTCAGTCTTCAGATCCAGGATCATCTTGGAGTACTTCTCCTCCGTCTCCTTCAGAACCTTATTAGACTGAACCTTCTCCTCCTTCATCTCCACCTGGAGATTGTCAAAGCTGGAGGACAACTCCTGCAGTTGATGCCTGAAAATATATTTGAGTCAGAATTGATTGATGTCGATTCACAACGTTACCCTCCACACATTTGTCTGATCAAGGGTGAATGAGATATCCTTGTTTTTCTAGCTAAAAATTTGATTATTTTCAATTGTGGGTTCTTTGCTAAAGTGAATTGCGGATTTATACAGCATAGGACATGAAGGAAATTGTCGGGTTTAAAAACATATTCTTCATAGTTATTCAGATAAAGCTTTGATGGTATCGTTGTGAATTGGGCGTTTAATGAATCTCTTTAAATAGGGTCTCACTTAAAATTAAGTTTTCAGTTCCTAATCTAAAATTAAATATTTATCATTGATTTTACAAACAATCAACATAACTTAGCATTGTTCTAGGAGGCTGATTTTTTGCATGCGAGCTTAAAATTATGTATATTACATGCATTTTTTGGTTTTGAACGGATCTGAACAAAAGTTCAAAACCAAAAAATGCATGTAATTATTATTATTATTATTAATATACATAATTTTAAGCTCGCATGCAAAAAAAAACAGCCTCCTACAACATGTAAAATCTGTGCTAAGATGACTGATAATGAAACTGTCGGCTACTAGCGCGCCGGTCAGAATGCTACAACATTTATTTTGACCTCGTGCTATAAATCGGCATACAACATGTAAAATCTGTGCTAAGATGACCCATAATGAAATGGTTGGCTACTAGCACGCCGGTCAGAAGGCTCCAATGTCTATTTTGACCTCGGAAATGTAATCCTTGTACCAATTTTGCTTTAGTTTGATGTGCCTCATGCTAGTTTTATTCTTACCCAGCAAAACTTAGCAAATAGGTATTCAAAGATATTTTCTTTTATTGCGCGCGCGGGCGCGGACATTTCAGGCTTTGGAGGTGAATTTTTTGAGCGTATATTTGTTTCAAGAGCATCAGGATAAATGATCAAGTGCAATTAATGAAGTTAAGATAGATTTACTGAAAAAGTCGTATTTTTTCACAAAAAGCGCGCGCGCACTTTTGCGCAGATCCGTTCAAAACCAAAAAATGCATGTAATTTTAAGCTCGCATGAAAAAAATCAGCCTCCTAGGACAATGCTAATTCCATATTTTTTATTCTTTCCCCCCCCCCCTCTAAATTTTTTTTGAATTCCTTCCCCAAACTCGACGACTCAAAAGACATAGATTAAACTCTTCTTAGATTTATTAAAGTATCATCTAAAAAAATTTACTTATTCTTACTTAATTAAACAGTAAAAAAGTCTACATGGACATGAGACTGATCTTCTTGGTTCTTCCGTAGCTGTCCAAGAGTTGCAGACAGATCTGCAAACTTCAGTTTGGAGTACTGTCTGGAAAAATCATCCCTGATTTCAGGGAGGATTTTTTTCTTTAAGATATGAAGAGGAGGAGCATTAAAAGCTATGATAAGCTCTCTTGAGAAAAAGCTTGATGTGAGGTTTCTTCCTTTATTAACTAGTATATTCATGAGGGATCCCACACTTTCACAGTAGGCTTCAGTATATGATTAGATATTAACATGTTCAAACAGGTCAAAGAATCTAGACTCTGCTGACAAACTCTGCCTATAATTCTTTTGGAACAGTTGATATAACACTTCCAAGGACTGCTGATCAGAATTTTGTTTAAACGTCAGGAATTGAATGAATGTCTGCAGAAGGCTATTCTGAACTTCAAACTTCTCCTGAAACTTCTCCTGAAGTTTGTCTTCTATAAGATTTTCAACCTGCTCCTCTAGATGTACTCTGGCACTTGTTTCTAGCATGTCTTTACTGATGTTTTCAGCCCACTCTGTTCTAAGAAAAGCCTCTACAGAAGCCGTTACAAGTAAAGTAGGTTTAAATCGTTTTTCCAAGGATGTAAAGATGTCCTCACATACCTCACTAAGTTGCTTTTCAACTTTTTCTATATAATTATCAGTCAAAGACATAACTGAAACCTCTTGCTCAGAAATATCCTGAGANCCTTCTCCTTCCCTTCCCCTTCCCTTCCCCTTCCCCTCTTTTGTGACCTTTGATTTCTTTCCCCCCCCAGGGGGGGGGAGAAAATGGAATTATATACACCCCTGTATTGCTAAGTTATGTTTATACACTGTTTAAATTTCCCGGAGAGTAATACATTTCGCTCCCCCCCTTATTCATTACTAATTGTTTCTTCATGCATAAATAACTTTTAAAGGGGCTGTAAGCGTTATTTCAATTGACCATTCCGTGCAAAGATGACAATGCCCGATTCACAACGGTACCCTTGAAACCTTTTAATATTCAATAATGTGGAAGAAATTGTTGCAGTCCTAGGGTTAAATGTGTTTATTTCTGATAATTGCTACATATTTTCCTGCAGAAGAAATGCGCAATTCACTTCTGTATTAAAATCACCATTTTTCAAAATTTTAAACATTGATATCTAATACATACTTGATCAAAGTGTTATGGGCATTGTTATCTTTGCAAGGAAAGGTCACTTGAAATTACGCTTCCAGTCCCTTTAAGCGTAAAAAATTGAAGCGGCCAGAAAAAAATCATTTTTCATTTAATTCAAGAATTGATTCTCACCTGTAAATATTAATCTCGTTATTGCAGTCTTCAAGTTTATTAACCTCCGTCTCCAGCTTGGCTCTGAAAACAATACAAACTTTAAGAAAAAACCCATAACCAGTGCTTAGGATCTATTTTGTTATGATCCGGATCCGTATCCTGGTTCCGGCCTGAAAAAATAGGTCCAGATCCAGGCCATGAACATTTATTTTAGATTTACTAATTTTTAAAGAAAATAAGAGTTTTCAAATTATTTTCGCGTATTTTTTTGCCAAAACTTAATGAACCATTCAGAGATAAGGAATTATTCAATAATCTCTCTCTTTCAACAGTTCCGATTTGGGATTGAGAGCAATTTTTTTACAGCTGTTGGATGATATTTCTCCCATTGGATTACGATCTATGGATCCGCATCCGGATCCAGAAATCTAAAATATTGCAGACCCAACAGATCCGGATCCTAAGGACTGACCATGATGATCCTTCGGACTAACCTGACAACCTGAAGCTCCTGATCTACCTCCTCCCTTCTCTTCCTCTCTATCTTCAGCTCTGACTCAGAACCTTGCAATGCCTCCAGCTCCCGGAGGTTTAGGATCAGCTTGCTGCTCATATCGGAGAGTAGGGTGAGCATATCCTTCCTCTCTTCTTCAACCTGAATCAGGGTACAAACATTAAGAAGGACGTAAATGTAATATTTGTCAGAAAAAAAACTAAGTTCTGATTTGGTTTAGCTCCGATATAAGATTTCTACCCTGAGTTCTGATATGGTTTAGCTCCGATCTAAGATTTCTTACCTGAGTTCTGAACCTGGTTTAGCTCCAATATAAGAATTCTACCCTGAGTTCTGAATCTGGTTTAGCTCCGATAAAAGATTTCTACTCTGAGTTCTGAACATGGTTTAGCTCCGATCTTATTTTTCCTACCTGAGTTCTGAACCTGGTTAAGCTCCGATCTTAGATTTCTTACCTAAGTTCTGAACCTGGTTTAGCTCCGATCTTAGATTTCTTACCTGAGTTCTGATATGGTTTAGCTCCGATTTTTCTATCCTGAGTTCTGAACCTGGTTTAGCTCCGATCTATAATTTCTTACCTGAGTTCTGAACCTGGTTTAGCTCCGATCTATGATTTCTTACCTGAGTTTTGATATGGTTTAGCTCCGATCTTAGTTCTGAACCTGGTTTAGCTCCGATATAACATTTCTACCCTGAGTTCTGAACCTGGTTTAGCTCCAATATAAGATTTCTACCTGAGTTCTGAACCTGGTTTAGCTCCAATATAAGATTTCTACCTGAGTTCTGAACCTGGTTTAGCTCCGATCTTAGATTTCTTACCTGAGTTTTGATATGGTTTAGCTCCGATCTAAGGTTTGTAAGACCCTGCCCTGAGACTCCAAGGATTGTTGCAATTCTACTCTCAACCTTCTCCCTCTCCTCTCCTGCACTCCCCAGCAGTAGATTCAGTTTCTCTATCTCACGAGCCTTCTCATCCATCTACATTCATATGTAAACGTAATTTGAAGATTTAAAAATTAATTTTCATTATCAATGAAAAATTTTCTCTGTATATGAAATGTTTTATCTGTGAAATGACCTATCCATGAAATGTTTTATCTATGAAATGTCCTATCTATGAAATGTCCTATCTATGAAATGTCCCATCTATAAAATGTTCTATCTATGAAATGTCCTATCTATGAAATGTCCTATCTATGAAATGTCCTATCTATGAAATGTCCTAATGTCCCATCTATGAAATGTCCCATCTATGAAATGTCCCATCTTTGAAATGTCCTATCTATGAAATGTCCCATCTATGAAATGTCCCATCTATGAATTGTCCTATCTATGAAATGTCCTATCTATGAAATGTTCTGTCTATGAAATGTCCTATCTATGAAATGTTCTGTCTATGAAATGTTCTGTCTATGAAATGTTTTTATATGAAATGTATTTTTATGAAACGTTATAACATTCTCAAAAGAGAACATAAAATCCCCAAGAAGCCATCTCCCCCCCCCCTCATCCTCCTCCTGGCTACCTGAGTTTGACTGGGCCATGTCTGCTTGAGCAAGGAACCGTCTGATGAGGGAGCATTACTAGAATTAGTATTTACACAGGAACTGCTGGGATCTACACTAGAGCTGCTCACCGTATCCCTGCTCTGATCCTGGTCAAGGGAGTTCTTTACAGGGGTCAACCTTGTCTCCCCTCGGCTAGGCAGGGAGCGGGTCATCTTCCTGGATAGCTTGCTTTTACCCTGACATATGGAAACATTTGAACCAAAGTTGAAAGAAATTGAGTATTTGTCACAAGCTCAAATTTTCAAAAATTTTAAGTTTAAGATATCAAAGACTGCGATATTGGGTTGCAAAGATAAATGGATTAGAAAGTTAGAGTTTGTGACAAAGACTCAATATATTTACTTAAGAATTTTTTATCTCAAAAAGAAAACTTAAAAGAAAACGGGATAATTTGCTTTTACCCTGACATATGGAAACAAATGTAAGGAAAGTTAAATTTTCTAATCTCCGTTATGTGTAAATCTTTAGTATTTCAAACATAGATTATTTGATTTAACAGAATTTTAAATATTTAGGCTACGATATTGGGTGCAAATATATAAGGATTAGAAAATTAGAGTTTGTCGCAAAGACTTAATTCATTTACTTTGTGAGTTATCTTAAAAGAAAACTAAAAGGAAAACGGGATAATTTGCTTCTATCCTTACATATGGAAACATTTGAACCAAAGTTGAAAGGAATTGAGTCTTTGCAACAAACCCAAATTTTCTTATCACTATGAGTTACCCTTTGATATTGAAAATATATATTTTTTAATATGACATTCAAAGATTGAATGGGTTGCAAAGATATAGAAATTAGAAAATCAGTGTTTTTGGCAAAGACTCAATTCCATCTTAAAAAAAAACTTATTTAAAATTTAACAATTATTTAAAAATAAAAACAATTATTGATTTTTTTGTGTTGTTTTCTGATTGTTTTCATTATCTTAAATATTTCAATTCATAAAATCAAAAGTAAAATTTACAATTTATACCTAGTCCATAGTTCATTCAGATTTCCGCAGGACGGGTTCAGGAATATGATAATTTGGGATCGAAGATAAAAATGAATTATTTAACCCACCTTGGAGATATTCTCTTCGTCTGAATCCGTTTCAGATCCTAGTTCCCGCTCTCGGCTTAGTGCCAGAGCTTCAAGTCTATCTTTCTTTTTCCGGTTTACAGGATCAAAGCACATCCGGTTCATCATACTTACACTTCCTGTGCAATACAAAAATAATTTTTTGATTTTAAAATTCGGTTTTCATAAATACTAACATTTTTATATGCCCCCCCCCCCTTGTCAAGATTAAAGGAGCTGTGGACCTAATTTCAAACGACCCTTCATCTAAAGATTGTTATGTCTGATTCCCAAGGGACCTCTTTGCACCATTATCTGCGTAACAATGCATATGAGGAAGATATTGTTTATTTGTTGTCTTTATCAAATGTTTAAAGGGTACCCTTGTGAATCAGACCAGTCGCTTTGTAAATAGAGTGTCAATTAAAATTACGACCGCAGACCCTTTAGGACCCTTTAAAATGGCATTTGCCATTTTATGTTGCGCGCACATGCCCCGTAAAATTCCAAAACAAAGAGAGGGGGATTGAATTTTGTAGATTCAGAAAAATAATATCTGTGGGATGCCTGCGTAGAGCTGGCAGCTGGTGGGGTCTTAAATGTAAGACATGTGGCTGCAGCGCTCGGCCCAATAGCCTGTCCTAGCCGCAGCGCTCGGCCCAGAAAGTGTCATAACTTAACCTAACCCGTGGCCGCAGCGCTCGGCCCCAGCCTGTTCTAGCCGCAGTGCTCGGCTCAGAAAGTGTCTTAACCTAACCTAACCCTAAATAAATACTAATTTCTGGATCTACAAATTTCAATCCCACTCTCTCTGTTTTGAATTTTACGGGGCATGTGCGCAACATAGAATGGCAACTCCCCTTTAAAATGCAATACCTACCTAGTCCATTTCCATTAATGCTAATTTTGTTTGTCATATTTTGTAAATTTTGCATAGCGTTGTCTTCGTCTTGTGTCAAGTTCTAAAAATAAATTATTTTCATGAAAATTTTTATCATTTTTAATCTGTTAAAAAGAGTTTTGATAGAAAATTTAAACCCCCTAGAAAAAAATCAATAAGAATTAAACTAAAAATGAGGATTTTAATATCTACTTATGAAACTGACTAATGCTTTGTGTTACTATGAGGGACCATATGTTTTTTGGTGGGATTTTTATTTTAGATTCAAATTCAAGTTTTTTAATCCTTCACTCAGTAAAAAAAAGCACAAATCCAAAATGATAACACAAGACGATTAGAAATATAATTTTTTCAAGTTTAATAAAAATTTGCGATTTTTGTAATGAAAATCTGCGCTAGAAATAAAAAACCTTTTACACACAAGATCATGAAATTGAAAGAAAAAATGTTGGATAAAATTTCTCTAAAAACTTAACAATAAATTGATCAGAAAATAATTTTTGAAGAATTTATTTTAAATTCTACTTCCTACCTGTGTGAATGATCTTGTGAGAAGGTTTGAAAGGGTTTTAGTATCCGGGACGGATAAAGACTCCGCTAGCTCCGGGAGCTGAGATCTCAAGGTTTCAAGATCAGAGAGACTCAAGGCTGGAAGTTTCTCGTCAAACGTATCTGGTCCCTTGGTAGCAAAGGGAGGTGGTAAATCCCCCATACCTTTAAACATGGTCGCTAGGAAATGTTTGTTGATTTTTTCTTGAAAAGCTTGACGCACCTTCACCTCGTCATTGTAGACCGAGGAGAAGTTTGACGCAAATATGGAGGTTTTACGCAGATATTGTTCACTGAAGGATCGGCGACGAACGATCTCAACGACGGTTGCAACATACATGGATGGAGCGAGGTGGAGCTGTTCCAAGACCTCCAATCTCCGGGACAACCTCTTCAGCTCCTCGTAGTATAAGACGAGCTGCTGACCCTGCTCGGCCATCTGGCGCTGTATGTACATGACCCACTTCAACCTCGTGTACACGTTGTGACTCAGCTCAGATTTTGCTTTGACACACCGCTTCCTTATGGAGACGATATGCTGGTGATTCCGCATCATGACGAGCAGCTGTTGCTTGTGACTAGCGCATAAATCCGGGAGAATGGAAGTGTCCTTGAGTCCGCTGGCCCGGGCTTGGTTCTGTAGAAACGCTGCGGCTAGATCCTTCTGCTCCGCAACCTTTTTATTTGCGTCTAGAAGTAGTTGTTCCAGACCAGATAATCTGTCTCCGAGTCCACCAATCTCTTTCATCTGCTGATTGTTAGCCCCCTCAATACAGCTGAAAATCTGAGACTTTTTACTCTCCAGGAACGCGGCGTCCATTTGTTCCAAGGAACGGTAGCAACTATCCGCAACCTGCTCCAGACTACTGTTCCCAGCTTGATTTATCCAATCTAACAAACTCATTGTGTTGTCCGACCTACCGAGATAACTTCCGTTCTTTCGTACGTCCATCCGCGTACTCGTCTCGTTCCCAGAGTCCAAATCGTCCATGAGGGCCGGCAAGACTGGTATCTTGTTGAGTATATGAATATCATCGTCGAAAGTTTCGATAACCTGTCTGTAATGTTCCCGTTTCTCCAGATATTTATTGTAAGCTTCGATAAAGGCGGAGTTTCTCTTCTCAATGGCGAGAACACTGTCCTCCAGGTTGGCAAGGGCAGCGGCCCAACCTTGATGCTGCAGATGCTGGTCATGTATCTCACGTTCACAACAGCGAACCTGCTCCCGGGACATCTTGACATACTCCTGTGCCAGGTTGGTTCGAACACTCACGGAGTTGTGAGTATCCGGGAGGGAGAGACTAGACTCCACCTCGGGTTGGAGATCCCGCTCCTGGAAGGTGTCGGAGAGGACGGGAGGATGGGATCCCTCAAGGGTTGAGACGGAGAAGAGAAATATAGGATTGGAATCTGAACTTCCGGCCGAATATTTACACACACGCTCATTCGATTCTAGGGATTCTCCGCCAGATATTAATAAAACCTGAAACATGGAATTTTCTGTATTTAAATGTTTTCAATAATTGACCGTATTTTGACAAAATTTCAGCTTTAATTTTGTTAATTTTCGTATACAAAATTAAATTATACCCCCCCCCCCGTAATCGAATTTTCATGGATTTTGAACAGAAATTGAATACTATTTTGTTCCGGGACTGTAGACGTTATTTCAAGTGACCAGATTCAGTGATCAGAGTTTAAAAGTACGACAGGGGTCAAATCATAGCTACATGACTTGGACAGACTAAGGGGTCGAGCGACGCGGTTAGGATAGGTCAGGGGGCCCCGTGTCGCATCTAAGACAGAGAGGTATTGCAATGCATAGTAAGGTACCAAGTACTTCACAATGCAAATACGATGCAATTAGATTCATGTACAAAATTGTTAAAGGGGGGGGGTCCAATATCCGTAAAGTTATTGGTTTTCATACATGGAGTTATATTTGGGTAATTTCCTAGTATACGATTTTTGGACAACCTAACCTAACCCTAAACAATACAAAATAACTTAAAATTAAAGGTCATGTTCAAAATTGAGGGGGGGGGGGGGGGGGTTCCAAAAATCGTATACTAGGACAGACCCTATATTTGAATAAATCAAGCCTTGGAACCTGTTTATCCACTGGTATATTACAGTATGAGGCTATTGCTGTTTGAAGATGAGCAACCGTCTCTAGAGCAAGGTTCATCTCCAGGTTTATCATGGTCCCGATATCAACACGGAAAATAAACAACATTTTGTAAATTAATTTTGAACTTTTTAAACTAAACAAATATATTCATGATCTGGAAATTGAAATGTAACACATTTAAAAATACTAGGAAGGCAAACAGATATTTTAGAGAAAAACTTTCACTTTTTGCATTCACTTGCAAACACTGTCAATTGTTTGTAATTTTATTGCTGCTGCGTAGTTTGTTTACGTCAAAAATGCACATTTATGTCTGTGTACACTATCAGCTGATTTTGCAGATTTACAGGTCGTCTTCTATTCTGCAATTCCTTCGATGTATGTTTTGAATAATTAATTATTTTCGTTTCTATTTTAAGGAGAAACTAAGATGCTATCTCATTTGAACTATTGTTCATTTGAACTATTGTTCATTTCAACTACTGCATCAGTTGAGAATTTTTTTTAGGTCGGTTGAGCAATTTTATTAGGTCAGTGGAGCAATATTTTTAGGTTGGTTGAGCAATATTTTTAGGTCGGATGAGCATTAATATTTTTAGGTTGGATGAGCAATATTTTTTTGGTTGGTTGAGTAATATTTTTATTTCCTAGAGGTTTTAATTGATGAGTAATATTTTTTTTAAATGTTTAAATATCAAATAAACATAAAAACAACAATTTTCAATTAAATTAGTATTTATTTAGGGTTAGGTTAGGTTAAGACACTTTCTGGGCTGAGCGCTGTGGCTAGGACAGGCTAGGGGGCCGAGCACTGCGGCCAGGAAAGACCTTTAATTCAACAATTTTTAATAAAATTAGTGTATATAGGGTTAGGTTAGGTTAAGCTCATTTCTGGGCCGAGCGCTGCGGCTAGGACAGGCTAGGGGGCCGAGCACTGCGGCCACATGTCTTACATTTAATTGAAAATTGTTGAAAAAGTCATGTAAAAAAGCAGCAAAAATCGTTCTCTAGGAAATTACCAAATGATTTAAGGCTAGGGGGGCCGAGCCCTGCGGCCAGGAAAGACCAATTTTATCCATGTTTTAAATATGAGATGCATGTACAGGTCCCAACGGGTGTTGAGCCCCCCTCAAAACCCCCAGCCGTTTTATGCATTACTGAAACAGTAGTGGTACAGTTCACAATTATGGCAATTGTTGGTAAAACAACCTTAAAAATATTGCTCATCTGTCCTAAAAAAATTGCTCATCCAACCTAAAAATATTGCTCATCTGACCTAAAAATAATGCTCATCTGACCTAAAAATATTGCTCATCCGACCTAAAAAAATTGCTCATCCAACCTAAAAATAAATTGCTCATCAGAACTAAGAATATTGCTCATCCGACCTAAAAAAATTGCTCATCCGACCTAAAAATATTGCTCATCTGACCTAAAAATAATGCTCATCCGACCTAAAAATATTGCTCATCCGACCTAAAAAAATTGCTCATCCAACCTAAAAATATTGCTCATCTGTCCTAAGAATATTGCTCATCCGACCTAAAAAATTGCTCATCCGACCTAAAAATATTGCTCATCTGACCTTAAAAAAATTGCTCATCCGACCTAAAAAATTGCTCATCCGACCTAAAAAATTGCGTATCCGACCTAAAAATATTGCTCATCCGACCTAAAAAATTGCTCATCCGACCTAAAAAAAATTGTTCAACCAACCTAAAAATATTGCTTAACAGACCTAAAATTGTCACTAATCCAACTTAAACTTCCTGGTAAACAGACCTAATATTGTGAGCCGATCAAAAGGAATATTGCTCGAAGCGGGATGAACTGAAGCGGGATGAACTGAAGCAGAGGATATGTAACTCGAAGAATGACAAATCCAAAGGCAAATAGGCTAGGGAAACACTCTTTCCAACCATACACAGATAGATGAGAACTTCTTGAAAATGTATATTTCAGTAAACAGTGTTTGTAGACGGATCAGGTACAAATGGAGGATCTAGTTTGAGCAGGAAGGCTAGAGTGGTAGCCGGATCAGATCCTGTTGGAGGTCCTGGATTGGTAGGAGGGTCAGGGTTGGAAAGAGGGGTTTGATGGGTGGGCCAGTCAGGTTCGGTTGTAGGTCTCAGATTTTTTTGAGGCTCTGAATTGAGCGGAGAGGCTGGATTGATTGGAGGATCAGGGTTGAAGGGAGGAATTGGATAGGTTGGCGGATCAGGTTTGGTTGTAGGTCTTGGATTGGTAGGTGAGACGGGATTGGTTGGAGGCTCAGGGCAGGAAAGAGGAATTGGATGGGTGGGCGGATCAGGTTTGGTTGTAGGTTCCAGAATGTTTAGAGGATCTGGTTTGAGCGGAGAGTCTTGATTGATTGGAGGATTAGGGTTGAAGGGCAGAATTGGATAGGCGGGCAGATCAGGTTTAGTTGTAGGTCTTGGATTGGTAGGTGAGACGGGATTAGATGGAGGGTCAGGGCTGGAAAGAGGAATTGGATGGGTGGGCGGATCAGGTTTGGTTGGAGGTCCCAGATTGGTAGGAGAGACTGGATTGGGGCTGTCTTGCAAAGCCTGGACATTTACAGAGTGGATGGACACAGTCTTGGTGGAGGACGAGATGATTGGCTCCGACCAGGTGATGTTGTTGGGAGAGATGGGGCCGTAGATCAGGTGGTTTGAAGCCAGTTTGCTTTGGTATAGTGCTAAACCTTGAGAGTCCCGTTCAATCTCCTTGGGAAAATAGAAATTATTGTCTCCACCCAGTAATATAGAGACCTGTCCTGAGTGTTGCGCAGTCGAGGATCCCATCAGTGACCTCCACTTGCTGGGGACCGGGAATGAGAAACCAGATCCGTTGTTGAGGTCTTCTTCAATGGCGGAGAGGGTCAAGGTTGCCCCAGGTAATCTTAATTTGACTGCAGTGGTGAGGATAGTCTTCCCCTCACCTGCATAGGTTATCATTCTTATTTGTGAGGAGGTCCCAAGGGAGTACATTGAAGGGGGCAGAGCTGAAAGTGCTGATTTGGAGATGATGCTGAGTTGGCATCCTGTATCGTACTGCACGCCTAGGGTAACCTTGCCCACCTGGATGTCTTCTACAAGGGGGACCAACTTGTTCACGTCGACCTTGGCTACAGTGACGAAGGGGGCCTGGTTGTTGTGCATACAAGCCCTGTGGTGGACAGGGGAACCTCCGTGCACGCATCCCTTAGTGCATATTTTAGACCTCCCATCTTTATATGTTGTATGACACTTGTAGATTGGGTCATGAGCTAGAGTGCAGGTGGGACAGAGATGGTTGTCAGTGATAATCTTGAGAATGTCGGGAGCGCTTAACTTGGCCGCTCCACAAAGCCTGCTGACGACCTTACAACAGGGGAAATTTGAGGGATATGGTTCACAAATATATATGCTCAACCAACCTAAATATATCTCTAAATCTTAGGTCGGAAAACCTATATATTTCTCATAGGATTACAACAGGGGAAATTTGAGGGATATGGTTCACAAATATATATGCTCAACCAACCTAAATATATCTCTAAATCTTAGGTCGGAAAACCTATATATTTCTCATAGGATGTCAAACGGACCTAAAGCTTTTTTCAACCAAACCGACCTAAAACACGTGCAAACTACTTGATATTTAGGTCAGAAAACCTTTAGGTTAGAATCATCTAGGTCGGAATATACGGCACCAATCCGACAACTCCTCTCTCTCTCTTTACAGTTCCTGGTCCTAGGTCTTCCCAGAAACCCTAGTTCTTTCAACAAACTAAATCTCCCTCCTCCTTCAACTACACCCTCCCTCTATCCCCCCTCAACTACACCCTCCCTCTATCCTCCTTCAACAAGCCCCTCCCTCCCTCCCTTCTTTAACATAATGCTTACCGGCCCTCCTTCTTCAAAAAATTCCTCCATCCCACCTCCTTCAACATACCTCTCCATTCCTCCTGTAACAAACCCCTCCCTCCCGCCTCCTTCAACAAACCTCTCCCTCCCTCCTCCTTCAACAAGGGATACAAGGAGAAGGTTGAAGTTATGTAGGGAGAATGTTGAAGAGATACAGGAAGAAGATTGAAAAGACACAGAAAGAAGGTTGAAGAGATACAAGGAAATTTTTAAATGCTTCTTGAATTAAAGCTTTTTTTTACTGAAGAAAAAATAATAATAATTAAAATTCAGTGAACCGAGGAATCAAATGATAGATTGATAGAATTAAGATAAAAAACTAAAATTTACTTCCTTCAAGAATCAACTGATGCAAATCTAGATTATTCTGGTAAAAACACAGCCAATATACTATATTACGTATACACTGGGACAGACAAATATTTATAGAATTAATAACTATGTTCTAAATTAATTTTGTTTTCAGTGCGCAATTGCAATTTTTTAAAGAACCCAAATAAACAACAACTAAATTTTTTAAATTACAAATAAAACAAAAGAACAGAAATTTTATAGAGAGAAAAAAATGTACGTTCCTGTATATGTATCCTCAACGGATTAGCCTGTAAAGACGACTCAAGCCTCTTTGACGATCTCAATCAGATTTGCGTTTTCTGCCTTGAGCCTTGAATGGGGTCGAGTTAAAATACTTTGGAAATGAGTTGTCAAAAAACAAGACGGCTAAAAGTTGCAGGAAATCATGGAATTAAGGAAACAGACAGAATAAATTTAGTACAGTCGTCTCTAAAGTTTAATCTTTTAGAATATCTAACATTTATAAAATCTTTGTTTGTGTCAGAAACTCATCTTCTTTGATTGTTTTCTTCAAAGCTTCTAAATTTACGTGTTTCAAAGCTCCTAAATTCATGTGTTTCAAAGCTCCTAAATTCATGTGTTTCAAAGCTCCTAAATTCACGTGTTGGTCTCATTTAAAAATCTGTTTTTATAAATAATATCTGTATAATTTAAGAGTCTAAAACCTACCCAGCTCTATAAATTGTATGATCCGAGCCGGTACAACATGTACTGTACTGTTTATGCATTCAATGTTGTACTGTCCAGTCGGTTACCCAGTGTAGAGTCAACCTAGCACGTTTTATGCAGCCTGGCAAGATCACAGTTTACTTTTTTCAGATATCCAATCAGAGATGGAATTTAAAGAATTTGAGTCGCGGTTTAAATCTGCCAAAACCCGGTTTAAATTAAGCGCCGGCTTAAATCCTGAAACATTTGATACAATTTAAAGTGGAACCAACCATATTTAAGCCGCGGCTTAAATTTAAACCGTAGCTCAAATTCTTTAAATTCGGTCATTATTCATTTAAATATGAACTTATTTAATTAAGTTTGGGAATTATTTTTTATTAATTTAACTTTAATACTCAGTAAAGTAGGGGTGTCTTTCATCAAAAATAATTAAAAAACATTTTAATTTGAATTCAACTTATGCACAATTAATAAGTTCTCAATAGCAATTAAGTTCAAATTAAAATTATTAGAAACTAAAATTTAATTTGATTAAAACACTTCAATAGCACATGCAATGAACATACTTTATTGTTTTTTTTTTTACAAAAATGCTAGAAATTATTGATATGCAGACATATCTCTAAGTTCTATCATTATTTTAATATGGTGTTGCAATATCAGGCATATTAAGAATAGGAGAAAATAAAAATTAAAGATTTTTTCAAAAAAGTTAAAATTCACCCGTAAAACACCTGAAATAACAATAGTAACCATTATTAATCGGAATGATTTTTTGCTTCATTCTTCAGTTTAATAAGAAATGCCGCCATGGAGTTCATAATTTGAGCTAAAAGAAAAAAATAAGAATAATAATGTTCTGCTTGAAATTGGCTACCACTGTACTATGAAGAGTGTGGGGTGTACTTTTTAAAATATCTTATCTATACTTACAGCGTCTTCTAAGCTTTGATGTTGATGTTGTTGTTGTTGTTGTTGTTGTTGTTGTTGTTGTTGTTGTTGTTTTCGTTGTTGTTGTTGTTGTTGTTGTTGTTGTTGTTGCTGTTGATGTTGCTGTTGCTGCTGTTGTTGTTGCTGTTGCTGCTGTTGTTGTTTCTTGTGTTGTAATTGTAGTATTTTGTGTAGTGGTGGTAGTATCTGGGGTAATAGTTTTAGTATCTGGGGTAGTAGTTGTAGTATCTGAGGAAGTTGTTAAGATATCTGGAGTGGTAGTTGACGTATCTGGGTAGGAAGTTGTAGTATCTGGGGTAGTAGCTGTAGTATTTGGGGTGGTAGTTGTAGTATCTGGGGTAGTAGTTGTAGTATCTCGGGTAGTAGTTTTAGTATCTGGGGTGGTAGTTGTAGTATCTGGGGAGGTAGTTGTAGTATCTGGGGTCGTATTTGTAGTATCTGGGGTAATAGTTGATGTATCTGTGGTGGTAGTTGTAGCATCTGGGGTAGTAGTTGAAGTATCTGTGGTGGTAGTTGAAGTATCTGTGGTAGTAGTTGAAGTATCTGTGGTAGTAGTTGAAGTATCTGTGGTGGTAGTTGAAGTATCTGTGGTGGTAGTTGAAGTATCTGTGGTGGTAGTTGTAGTATCTGGGGTAGAAGTTGAAGTATCTGTGGTGGTAGTTGAAATATCTGTGGTGGTAGTTGAAATATCTGTGGTAGTAGTCGTAGTATCTGTGGTGGTAGTTGTAGTATCTGGGGTAGTAGTTGAAGTATCTGTGGTGGTAGTTGTAGCAGAAGATATAGTTTTAGTTGGAAAATCGGTGCAGGAATAATATCCTGAGACATTTAGACTTTGTTTATAAAATAACCCAGCTGTGTACCTCTAAGACATGTATACAAGAGGTATTTTTCACAAAAATCCAAAATGGTCGTCGCTGATGGCTTTTAATGATAATGAAAGGGAATATCTGAGTTCAAATCAATTTACAGTATGAAACTTTATTTAATTGACCAAGTTAGGGATAGAAAAACACTTTTTTAAACATTTAGTGAAATTTGTATAGGACAAAACTGTTCTCCCGAAACTTCATAAATATCCAACATTTTTCTACCCTGTTACCTGATTTACAGATCAAACAAATGTAGTTAATGTACAATTGATGACTTAAATGAAGGATATAAAACTAGGTGACAGCTGAAAGGTAAAGTGGTAATTTTTTTTGGCGCACTTCGCGCTCAAATATCAAATTTTACCCACCCTAGAAAATCCTTATTTACGCCCCTGTGCTTATTTTAGAAAACTGCAGCGTTAATAAAAGATTTTAAAGATCTCATGTCATCTATTATAACAAAAACATATTAATCATATTTCTTTTTGGTATTCTCAAATAGATTATCAAGTAAAATAGGGGCAACAGGTGAAATGGATCAATTATACACTACGTCACAAGTGTCAAATATAACAAAATTAGTTTATATGTTTCCCAAGATTAAATAAAATAGTGTAAAAACAGTAAATGCAGAACACATAAATAAGCACTTTTATGCTAAAATTATCACTTTTATTAATAATTTTGTCGGACACACAAACTAAGTTGACACTTGTGAGAGTGTAAAATTACGTTGCCATCTATTGTACTAGAATCTCGTTGCCATCTATTGTACTAGAATCTCGTTGCCATCTATTGTACTAGAATCTCGTTGCCATCTATTGTACTAGAATCTCGTTGCCATCTATTGTACTAGAATCTCGTTGCCATCTATTGNTTTATAATCTCACTGGAGGGACATCTATTGTACTAGAATCTCGTTGCCATCTATTGTACTAGAATCTGTTTCTGTATTATGAGTAAACATTCTTCCTCTCAAGGGCAAATTTTTTGTTAAAAACTGTGATTTATAACGATTACCATCTAACATATAATATTTTGTACATGTTTGCTGATGTTGATCTTCTCTAAACATGTTTTTGAACGTTAGGAGAAACTCTATCATTACCAAAAATAACGCAGTTTTGTGTGTGATTCGGTTTTAAACAGCGGGGATGATAGTTCTCTACCTGTGTGCTCAGTTAGCTGTACTGCACACTTAAAACTGTTTACTAATATTGATATGCTATAATTGGTTAGGCCAGAATCAACTTATAATAAACAAATATGCATAACGCTCTCGGTATAGTTTGTGGCCTACACAATTAGTAAAGGATTAGCGTACATCATCACTCTATACACTATAACCTCGTTGGTTTTAAATTATCTAAATCAGATAGATAAATAGATAGATAGATTTAGATAAATTTAAATTGAATTGCACGCAAAACTGCGTTTTTTGGGTAAAACTTGAATTTCTCTCTTCCTTTAAAAACATTTTTAGAGGAGATCAACATCAGAGGCATGTACAAAATATTATATTTTTATTACAAAATCGCAAGACATGGACCCAGAGGATAAAGGGTTGCGGCTAAGAAGCGCTACGGTAGAGCGCGTTGCCGCAACTCTATTTTTGTAAGTAAATTTAGGGATGGAGGCTATACAGGTGCAGCTTGCCTTCCCCCCATACCGCGCAATTTCAAACAAAAAATAAACCACTCTCAGAATCTCCAAAGAAGTTGCGGAATATCCAAGTTTCTCGGAAATTTGGGGAATTCCCCAGAGTTACCAAATTCCCCACTCCCCAGAGTTCCCAAATTCCCCACTCCCCAGAGTTCCCAAATTTATATAGGAATTTGAGAACGGGATATTTTAAAGTTGTTTTGGAAAGGAATTGAGTCTTTGTCACAAACTGAAATTGTCTCATCCCCGTATCTTTGCAACCGGACTACATGTGTTAACCTTTTATATTAACTTAGATTATTGAATCTAACAGAATTCATAGTTTGAAATAACTAAAGTTTAGGACATCTGGTTGCACAAATATAGAGATTAAAAAATGAGAGTTTGTGGCAAGGACTCAATTCCTTTCCCATATGACTTGATACTTGGGGGATTCCTAAAAAAAATGCCTCAAATGTATGGGAAATTTCTTACAGAATTTCAAACTCGTGTTTTATTTTGGAATAAAATTAGCTACTCTTGTGTACATGACTTTTAGCATTCTCAGTATAGTCCCATTGAAACTAACAAAATAGGATATTTTGTATCTGACACATTGTTCAGTCAAATGTGCCTGATGTAAATTCTGTTTTAGGATATACATATATTATTACATCAAAACTCCCAAAGCAAAAGCAATCTTTTGTATGAGAGTGAGAAGTTAGTAGGAAGATATGGACTCCACTGGAGACTAGCGGAGGGATTTTATTTTCACCGGAGGGGTTTGATAAACTTACTATTATTGAATTGAAACTTTACACAGTGTGATTTACATTCCACCGGAGGGATTCAGATAGTCTCCCTAGGGCTCTAAAATCACACTGGAGGGATTCAGATATCTTCCTAGCAGGTTTATGATTCCACTGGAGGGATTTCGTATCCATCTAGGGGGTTTACAATTTCACTGGAGGGATTCAGATATCCATCCATGGGGGTCATAATCCCACTGGAGGGGTTCAGATATCCATCTAAGGGGGTTATAAGCCCGCTGGAGGGGTTCAGATATCCAACTAGGGGGGTTCACAATCCCACTGGAGGGATTCAGATATCCATCTAAGGGGGTTGTAAATCCCACTGGAGGGATTCAGATATCTATCTATGTGGTTTATAATCCCACTGGAGGGATTCAGATATCCATCTAGGTAGCTTCATAATCCCACTGGAGGGATTCAGATATCCATCCATGGGGCTTACAATCCTACTGGAGGGATTCAGATATCCATTCTAGGGATTTATAATCCCCTTGGAGATTCAGATATCTCTCCAGGGTTTTTTAAAATCCTAACTAGAGGGATTTATATATCCATTCAGAGGGTTTTTAGTTCCACTGGAGGGATTTAGATATCCGTTCAGGGGGGTTTATAGTCCAACAGGAGAGATTCAGATATTCATTCAGGGGGTTTATAATCCCACTGGAGGGATTCAGATATCCATTCAGGTGATTTTTAATTTTACTGGAGGGATTTAGATATTCATTTAGAGGGTCTATAATCCCACTGGAGGGATTCAGATATCTATACATCTGATTTATATTTCCACTGGAGGGATTCGAAATTCAGATTTAGATATCCATCCTTGCCGATTATAATTCCATTGGGGGGAGTTCAGCCTAAATTCTTGAGCCCTATAAAAGTTTTAAAAACTTTACATGAATAAAAACGGACCTAAAAACAGTATCCTCCAGTAATTTTTGATAAATGTACGTACAATGTTTCTGTGGAGCAAGTTAATTTAAGTTATATATTTAACCATATCTAAAACAAAGCAACAAATTACATTTTTAATTCAACAGTGATATTTATTGTATTAAATACAAAGCTTTTGTGTAACTATTTTATATTGTTGTTCTGGTCAATGAGGGAGGTGTGGTTGCTCCCAGGGTTTCGGAGTAAAATTTGAAAATTTATCCGACCTTTTATGACACGTCTTTTCAAAGGGAAACTTTCAAACCGAAAATAGAAAAACAGGGCTTAGCTACCCCTTTGTTCAGATATTTGCAGAAACAAAATCCCAAACTTTGCCACAAACTCTATTTTTCTAACCTTTTTAACCTTTTTTACACTATTGATATTTCAAACTTTGATTATTTGATCTCACAGAATTCTTAGTTTGAAATATCTAAGGTCTAACACACAAGGTTGCAAAGATATAGGTTTTAGAACATCAGAGTTTGTGGCAAAGACTCGATTCCTTTCAGTCCAAGTAGCCTGAAGCGATCATATAGTTTTGATTAACCAGACCGACAACATTATTTTAGTGAGATACATTAAGGTTTCATTTGAGCTGGTCAAATTAATCTTAACATTTTTTTTCCAGAAAAGTCCAATATTTTGTTAACAAATCTTTAATGGATTGGTGCCATTCAAAAAGTTTTTACTCAGTCAATTATGAAAATAGATTTATATTCAAAAAACTTTTAAATTGACATAGGATTATGAAAACATGACGGTTCTGTTCGTAAAACTATTCTTTAAACAGTTTCCAATTAAAAACATTCAATGTCCAGGAAAGTCAAAATGATTAGAGTTTTGGTCACAAATTTATAATCTTTATATCTTGTAGACATTTGATATTTCAAGTTATGAATTTTGTTAGATCAAATAATCTAAGTTTAAAATTTCAAATGCTTACACTATAAGGTTGCAAAGATTTAGGGATAAGAAAATTTTAGTTTATGGGGAAAACTCAATGTCTTTCTAATCTGTAAAACAATTATTTCAAAACACTATCATTTCTTTTTGAAATAGTTTCATAAATCAAAGTAAAGCATTTAAGAATTGTTTTCCAAACAAAAGTATTACAACAAATATTTATATATATTTTTAACATATAAAGAATAATTCAGTCCACATAATTTTATCTAATATGGTAGTTTAAATATCGCTCAAAGATGTCCTTTTAATTAAAAAAAAAATAAATCCTGCACGGAATTATATGTTTGAACCTTAAAACAATTATCAGAAAAAATAATCTATTTCTTGCATTCCCAAAATCGATTTTTTTAATAATTGTTCTTACTGTATTTATTCAAAACCGTATTTAATCAGAAACCCCTTTGAATAGAAAATGTTCATAAGAAGTTCATTTGTTTAAGAAGTAGCTCTTTAGCTTGAATATTATGTTCAAAAGCATTTTGAAATTTTGTTTTAGAATTTTTTTTTTTATTTTTAACTAGAATTTAAAGCTATCTAATACTCAAGAAATTTACATCCCCTCAGTTACAGCCCTGTGAATATATATTAATGAAGAATGCATCTTCCTTAACAAAAAATAAAAATAAAACTAATTTATTTACAATAAATATAATCAAACTGCTTCAAAGTTCTTCACGTTCCTCAAACTCTAAATATAAAAAAGTACAGTGATCCTCAAAATAAAGTAGAATATACAGTTTCTAACCTTGTTATAAACTGAGCATTTTATACACTAGCTCATTTATCTTAATGATTTGATTTTAATCAAGCTATTATGGCTTATAAACTTTATTCCGAAGACCACTGTACAGTAGGGGGGAGTGAATTTCCAAAAATAAAACAATTTGCTTGAAATCACTACGGGGAAAGTCAATTCATATGTAACATGCTTCCAATATTCATGGCAATAGTCATTTCTACTGTAAAAATCAATTCTAAAAAAATTGCTTTTATGATACTAATAGATTGGAGGTCGTCTTCTTAAGCTAACTGGCACTGATATTTTTGACCTAAATGTACTCTTTTTCTGGATCTGTGGGTCTTTTAGCATAAGAAGACGACCCCAAATCAAAAAGTGTTATGAAAGAAATTGTTCTTAGAATTGATTTTAACATTAGAAATGCCTATCGCTGTAATAATTGGAAGCTTATTGCATAATTATTGCGAAATCACCAATCTCAAAAAAGAGTACATTTAGGTAAACAATTAGAGTGCCAGTTAGCTAACAAAGACGACCTCAAATCAAAAAGTGTCTTAAAAAATTGTTTTTAGAATGGCTTTTTTACATAAGAATTGACTATCGCCGTATTAATTTATAGCATATTTCATGCTTATTGCGAAATAACAGATTTCAGATAAGGAGTGTATATATGTCAAAACTTGCAGTGCCTGTTAGCTAATGAAGACGACCTCCATAAACATAAAATAATTTGTTCTTAGAATTGCTTTTTACAGAGAAATAAAGTATTGCTGTAATTATCGAAAGCATATTTCTTGTGTATTGCGAAATCACAGATCTCCAATAAGAGACATTGAGGTCAAAAATTGGAGTGCTGGTTAGCTAACGAAGATGTTCAATCAAAAAGTGTCATGAAAGAAATTGTTCTTAGATTTGTATTTTACATAAAAATTGACTTTCGCCGTAGTTCTGTGAAGAAATTTTTAAATTCACTCCCCCTAC